ATATATATATATCATATAAAATAACTCATACATAAAAGTTGTTTTATTATAAATAACATTAATATTTATCATACTTTTTACATATCATAAAATATGCTACAATCTTCATATATTTAAATACATACAAATATTTTATCCTTTTTCACAATTATATTTTTAAATATATATATAAATATCCAGATAACAAATAAAAATGTTATTTACCTCTGGAATAGCAGCAAATTCTTTTATAAGACTACTGTCCTTTTCTTGTTCTAATAAGGTACTCTTTTTCAAATTAAGATCCTTAAAAGGTGACGCTTTTTGCTGTGCTTCATTATTTTCTTTCGAAATTGCAACGGCGGTGCTTGCTTTATCCAAATTTTTACTCTGTTCTAAAATTTCTTTTGACAATTTCTCTATTATCTCTTCTTCATGAAGAGGAAGTATACACGGGGGCCAAGAGTTACGCTCCAATGTTTTTGTTGTCGACATTGCTTGAGGTTTTTGCTGCATTTTAAATCGTTTAAACTGTATATTAACTTTTTCATTGCTAATAATTTTTGGTTTAGCTTTGCCTTCTATTACTTTGGATTCCTGTACATGTGCATTAATAGTATCTACTAATTTACTTCTGGGAGTGGAAGTGATCGCCTGGATTTCTGCATCACACGAGGTTTCATCCTTTAAAACTTCTTCGCTTCCTCGCATAATTCTTTGTGATTCAAGGAGAGTTCTTGCAAGTTGAGCATGAATTTCTTCTATACTATCAATTAATCTGCGTACTGCTTGCGTATCATTACGTGCTGGTTTTGGTGTAGATAATTGTAATAAGCTAGTTTCATCACTTGGACTGATTAGTGAAAGATCCATATCTGCAATAAATATTATATATGCTATTTTAAATTTTGTATATGCAGAAATAGTATTTCATTAATATATTTAATATATTATTTCATTGAATGTTAATGGTAAATGTATAGAATTAATTAAAAATACAACATAAAAAAATACATTATGGATAATTAAAATAAAATTGCATATTAAATAAATAATTTTTCAATACTTTACCTTTTTGTTCATTTCGTACTTTTTCAATGAGGTCAGTTAAAGATGCTATTCTTTCTGTACATAAGTTTTGTAGATCTTCGTATTTTTGCAATATTTCAGGACAATTTTTCAAAGCATAATCGTGAATATCATCAAATTTTATGTGTAATAATTTACATTGGAGATTTTTACATATACAAACTTTAGATGATGGCTGTGAAACAGTAGGTATATGTTTTGATTCTTCAGATTTCTGACAAACATCCAATGAATCTGTTGAAGTAGACTGGTCATGTGTCGATGATATCACAGTACTATCATTAGTCTGAGAATCATTCAAACTAAATCTAAGCATTCTACTAATTTTATCACGATGTGGAATATTTGATGGCATCATCATTGTACGTGGTGAAGGAGTTTCTGGTGTGGAAACAGGACTAATGTCCTGTAATCTTCTTAATTCTCTGGGTCCTGGAGAATCTAGCATTTCTAAAATCGGCGTGACGTTAGCTAGAGCGTCAAATATCGATTTAGGCTTTATCGGTGGTGGGCTTGCAAATGACGTTGATGTATCTGAAGTATCTTTCATCCGAATCCACCTTTTCGTTCGAGTCTGAACCCGATACGGTTTACCCACTTGATCTTGATCATTCAGGCCTGAAATTGTCTGTGAGCTTTCTGCACTAGCGTCTATCGATACTCTTGTTTCTTGCGATGGATCTGTCTCATCATCAACTTGCGCAGATTCACTCATGTGAATATCAACTCTTCTAGTAGCTGTGTCTGTATCTGGTGCTGTATCCAAACATTTCGTTTTCGTTTGAGGAATCGAACGAAAGCCTGACTGAATTCTCGAGAATCTCTTCATAGGTGAGGTCGCTTTAGAACTAACCGATGCTGAACGAATTTTTTGATAAATTCGAGGTGATGGTCGCTTCGACATTCTCATGCTGTTTTTTTTCTTTTTAGGTGTTACAATTATTTCTTTTTTGCCAATTTCAATGATCATACCACTAATCTCAGAACTTGTTGAATCATTGCTACTATTATCTGTCTCTGGTGTACTAACAATAGTAATTTTTGGTTCAATTGGATGCGGTATTTGTTCAATTGTATCTCTGCTAGACATATGCTGCTGTGGTATATGCACATCTTTTTGAGATAATTCCACTTGTACACTCTTATTCTCTACTGGACTCGTTGTTTC